CATTGGAACCCTAGGGGCAAATTCCCCCTCTCGCGTATGATGGCCGAGCCGCCTCTCTGAGCCCCGGGGTGGTGGCATTGGAATCCTAGGGGCAAATTCCACCTCTCGGGTATGAGGTCGTTTTGGCTCCCCCGGGTCTTTTTAGGGGCTCTTTGAAAAGTTATAGCCACCGGCGCCGGCGGCAGCAGCAACAGCAGCGGCAACGCGGGGGGAGGGGCACGCGGGGTGGCCTTGGTCCTAGGTGCAAATTCCACCTCTCGTGTGTGATGTCACACCGCCTCCCGTTCCCGTCGTGGCTAAGCCCACGTCGGATGGCAGCGGCGGAACATCTGCGTCGTGTTCGCTCAGGAGTCTGTTCTGCCGAGTTCGGCGGGCGCGTGGTCTTTGGGGCTGGGGAGACGACATCCTGGCAAAGGCGCCGAGGCCCTGCCTGGAAGCACCGCCGCCAGGATGACCCCGGCTGCACAGGTGCCCGGAAAAATAGGGCGGCCGCGCTGAGGCTCCTTCTGAATCCGCACGGCCAGGGGCAGGCTGTGTGTGGGGGGGGGCACAATCCTAAGCAGGCGCTGCGGCCCTCGATCGTGGGTTCGGGATCGTGAACGCCGCTCTCTGGGCCGCAGCGAAGGTGTGAAAATCGAACTGTACCAGCAGCAAGGCTGTTTTCGGCAGAGCCTCGCCGGGAAGATCCCGCCCCTTGGACTCCGGCGCGGGGGACAGAGACGCAGATGTGGCCCTGCCCAGACAGCCCTCGGGCAAGAACCAAAAGGGGCATTCAACACCCAGAGACCCGAGGCAGCCTCCAAAAGAGGGTTTTTGTTTTTTAAAGGAAAACGCAAATCAGGCGCCTTCTGAAATCCTCCGTCAGAGACACTCAGCAAGCTGAAAGGAATCTGTCCGTAAAATCGGGGGCTTGCTGGGCCGCGTCTGTCTTTAAAGACTTTTAGGGCAGCTGCCCTTCATTATGGTGGCCAAGATATGGTCGATCTCATCTCAAGCAGGTTGCCGGACCCCCGTCAGCAGCGGGGGTCTCAGATTCCGACCAGACCGCTCGGACCGTCGTGCTCTGCGGGCGGGGGGGCAAGCGGCGCAGATCCCCGCCGCAGCCCCCGGTCGGTGGCTCGGACGGGAGAGAGGCGGCGCCTGGTCCCCAGCGGTGTTTGCGGTGCCCACCGAGGCGTCACCTCCAGGCAAGGACCGCGGGCCTCTCCTCGCAGAACCCTTGCCTCGACTGAGAGGGGAGACTGTGCACATTCAATGGGCGGACGGGTTCCAGGAAAGTTCCAGTCGTGCGAGGCGCCGGTCCCCAGCCAGCCCCAGCAGGACCTCCGGAGGCAGGGGGGGCACACGACTGTGCCCGCTGGAGGCCTACGCCGAGGGGGAGGAGGGGACCACCTGGGGGCGGTGGAGAGGGCCGAGAGCGGCCGTGGGGAGGGGGGTCTCCCCACGCGGGGCGAAACATCTGCCCGAGGTGTTG